CTTTATAAAACTGGTTTATTCTTTCCGAATACAACTTTACGACACACTTATTTTCAATATTCGCGCTAAAACAAACGCTATATCAATGAACGTCAATAATACTTCTGACTGCAGTTCAATTACTCACTATCTTCACACACACATTACATTATTCTGACGTCACGTTGTCACCCTCTTTTATATACCAGACTACCCTATATCTAGTAAATACTAGAGCATTCACCAAGGTACGGGATAGTTCTAGAAACGTGGCGTCACAGTAGTCATGTGACTCGCTGACGCAACAATATTAAATAAAAATCAAAGTGATACTGTATGTGACAATGACAGATTTTGTTGGACTGTTTAGTCTATGAGTTATTATTTAGTTAATTTAGTGATTTGGTATTTCATGATTATTTATTTCTCATAACAAGAGTGTTAAAAGCTGATTATTTTAAAAGCGATAGTTATGACAAGTTTCATTACGTAACTCTGTATGGATCGTACTTTGTGTATGCAGTTTAATTGTTGTACTAAGCTTTTGTAATATTATTGTCATTTTACACGAAGCTTCTTAGTATCTCACATTATGTTTAATATTGTTGTCACTAGAGAGCTAGATATTTCCAGATTTTCTGTCGCGAGTTATCAATACGTGCAGATACAGACAAGAAAAGTTGAGTTAGTGCAAGTGAAAGTAAGACAAAGTTAGTGAGAGATAGAGATTTAGACTGTGTTTGTAAGTTTAGCCATAAAGAGTGTATAGTAGCGACTTTTAAAATGTTATAATCACTCATTGTATTGTAATAACAGAGTAGAGAAAAATAATTATGCCAGTTGGGTTCTAAACTAACTGAACCAGCCTTTGTGGACTTTTGACGTAAGAGAGAAGTATTTAAAACTCTGTATACAACTGTGGTAACCCACGAGGGAAAGTAAATGAATTTATCAATAATTATATGGTGATAACAGAGGAGAGTAGAATAAGTTGTCTTGTCAAAGTGTGTTCTAAATTAATTGAATCCGCCTGTGTGGACGAAACAGAGACAGTTATTTAAAGTTCTGGATACAACTGTAAGAACCAGTAGTGTAACGAATTTTGGTAAATACGTTTGACTTGTTTTGAATATATTACTTTATAACAAGTGGATTGTGTTCTGTCTGTTTATTGTTAAAATGTATCGCCAATAAGTCACAGACACCTACTGTAAAGAATCCCGACCCATCCATACACACAATAAAACCTGACAGGTTTGAGATGGAATTGTGCTTTAAGAAATGTTTTGAGGCACAACTGTGCCTAACAACTGAATGTATAAGTAAGTTTTAAAAAATTGAGTCTTTTTATATTACATACGTTTGAACTTTATTATGTTATCAAGTAATATTTTCTGACACCATTGTAGGTTATTTTAGATCGCTATAAAACAAGCTTAAATGACTCATTATAAAATATGCATTTGTTAAATGTCATGTTTTTCTAGACTTTTATCATTACTTCAAGTAATTCTAAAATATCACGTTTTATAGTTGAAAGTTTGAACTAATCAGTTTATCCTGTTAAAGCTAATCGTTCTAGCAAATACGTCTTTGTTTCCCAAACATATATGATACATAATACATTATATATGTTATGAAACTATTATTTTCATTTTGCCGCCCTATAACACAGCAACCTACTAAGATATTTTGTGTCGATAGAAGTTGACCCTAATATTTTTTTGTACTTTCGTATATACTAGCTATATATAGTACAGTGCTATCATAAATATATTTTTAATGGATATCAATCCGTTTTTCAATGCGAATTTTTTTAATCTATATATATAGTCCCTTCTGAAACTACCATATCTGATGAACTAATTTACCGGGAGAAGGAGAGGGGCAGTGGGAGAAAAAATAGCAAAAGAATTTCCGGCAGACAAAGTGCAATCTGTGATGGGATTTGTTTGCTTTCTGTTTGGCTATCACGGCTGATCCTTCCCTGTCAGCGTGTTCCCTGGGGGAACCACGGTCTCGAAGCTTGTAGCCTAACTGGTCGATATTGATTAGTCCAGACGTGGTGTTGCTGGCCTACAATTCAGTGAAAAGAACTTCGGATAAAGGGGTAGAAAGCTAAGTGACGTGAGTATCGATTTAACTGTTCTGGATTTAGGACAGCCCCATGCAGTGCACATAAGTATTTCCAGTGTAAAAGAAAACAAAGACATATTACACATCAATAAAATGTAAACTATATAAATATGAGTGGGGATTCATACGCGTGTGTTTGTAATGTTCACTCGACCTAAAGATATCACAATAAAATAAAATAATACTCTTTCTCTCTCTCCTATAACAAGAAGCAATATCAGAGAGTTTATAAAATGGAAAACGTAATAGAAAATAAGTCGAGAACCTCGTAAATAACAGCCAAAAATGTTACGTCGGCCAACGTCGTTTAGTTTTCACTACAGTTGTTTTTCATAATTATTTGCATACATGGTTTTTCGCAGCTTGAAAGAGGAGCCATTAGTGTAGATAAACGGCTTACGTGCACACAGAGATAAATAAAAAATTTGATAAATTAATCCCCGAAATTAGTTTTCACGTTCTGAAACGTTCAATAAGTAAACAGAGAAACAAACTCAATTCCAAACTTAATAATAAAATTTAGGAAAAGCTTTTATTTATTCGTTTATAGTTACGTACAAAGCAACACAATGAGCTATCCGTGATGTGCCAACCACGAGTATCGAAAACCCATTTTTTGCGTTATAAGTCTACAGACTCACCGTTGAGCCACTTGGGGGAGGGGGGGGTTTAAGAAATGAACTGAGAAATGAATAAAAATGGCAGATTTGGCGTAATCTATCAAAAAAACATTATTTTTATTGTAGCTGTTATCATAGCCGATTATATACGTAGCACAAAACTAAACATATGAAACGAATGACAAGTCGCCTAGAAATATACAAAAAAAAGAAGTGTATAATGATGAATAAAAAATACTCACTGAATGAAAGATAAAAAAGCACTCAGTTATACACCAAATACCTGTGCCTATATATAGGCTAAAACTTATTCAAAACATCGCTATGAAGAAATTTCAGATCATATGATTTTCCACATCAAGAAATCCTAAACCAGACATAAACATTGAAAAACATATGTCATTTCAAGTTCCATTTTCAAAATTGATCAGTTGAAAGTCAGCACAAAAAATACTTACTTCTGTCACTCGTCGATGTAAGACAAACCAAAGCTGCGTCCGAATCCTGCAACAAGAGAAAAGAAACATCGAGTTAACGTGGAGAAAGGAAATTATTTTTTATTGGGAAAAAGGGCATAAAATTTTCTGTTTGCTTCGAAAATAATTTACACAACCGCCGTTTGTCTCCTAAAAGAAACACTGATAAATTTGAAAAAACAAACAAACAATTATTATTAGAAACAAAACAAAAAGCGTGTAAAAATATTTGGATGCACATATTCAGTCAGTAACTATTATGTCGATTCTTCTTTATATTCATTATTATTATTATTCTTTAAGTATTTTGTATATTTTATAAAAAAATATTTTTTACACTGTAGAAGATTATTTTGTATTGTAAGTTTTGACTAAGCTAATCTTTTTATCTGGTCGACTTTCGGGAGATATTATTAGGATTTCGACCGAAAATATCATTAGCGTGCGTATGTGTGTTTCATAGCAAAGCCACATCAGGGTATCTACTGTATCTAGCATGTGGAATCAAAACCCTGATTTTAGCGTTGCTGTCTGTAGACTTGCCACTGGGAACATCGTGGAACAATATCGTTAGCAGCGAGGGTACCTAACTGATGACGCAATGCATTGACTTATAATAGGTTTTAGTTTTTTTTTATTATGTATTGATTTATGACATTAAGTATTTCAAGTCAATTTGTCATACAGGATTGGCTTCATTAATTTAATAGTTACTCTTTAGAACTGATATATAGCTATCTGACTTTTCATCAAAACTTCTTATTGTTTAGTTCTAGAAAAGGCACACTATTCATTATTATACTCAATACGAAATTCAACTGGAAAACTTAATATTAATTTAAATAATATTTACTGTCCTGGCAAACTTATAAATATTGATAGTTGTAGTAAAGAAAACACCACAATACTAGACTTAATAAAATATATTATTCAATCCACCCAACAAGGATAATATACAACACGCGGTTGTGAAAGGAAGCTGCACTGTGATGTTTACTGTAAAGGAAGAAGCTGAAGAACCACTGCTATAGTATGAATATTTAGAAAATAAAGTTTAACTGGAAACTGAGATCAATAAGTTATTAATATTTTTGAAGGTTAGGGATTGCAATTGCCGTTTTTAGACTAAAACAAAATATAGCCTTTAAGAAATTTATTTTGTGAGCTTATTTTGTTATCTAGAAATTCTTGACATTTTGAACCTTAATCGGTTAATCACGATTTAGCTGTTGTTATTTATTCCTATTAGACACTAACAGGAGTATAGTTTCGTAATTTGCCAGTACTCAACCACGCTGATGGCATGTGGTCTAGAAAGAAAATATTAAAAGTAATTTTATTACCACCATGGTTGCTGTAAAACGAATATTCATATAAACCCAATATTTTCTTCTTAACGTAAAACGAATTTGACAAAATGAACAAAAAACAAAACAAAAAAGAACAACAGCAACAACAGCTTGTAAGCACGTGCATGAGAAGCACTTTTGGGAAGTCGCAAAACATAAACGCACATACTTCTGACAAATCATGATTAACGACTGTAAAAAGTTTCACACCTCTGGTGCAGTGCATGCTGATCAAAGCCGACTTTACAAGCGTTGATGACCACAGAAACGACTCCTCCCCTCCTCCTGGGGGGTTTTAGATGTCAGCGTGGATTGGACTTGTCGTGAAAAATAACGGTTTGGGAAGTGAGCTTTCAATAGAACATTTCACTCAGCCGCTCTTCTCAATGATATAGTGAAATGCATGTTTAACTTGTTAGTCTACTATATGATTACAGATTAGGGGAACAATTAACTCTCCAATTCAGATGATTTCTTCATAGGGTAAAATACTTTTTAATTTTGATAATATATGAAACATTTCAAATTGCCATCGAGTACGACAGCCATACGAACAACAAATTATCAGGCCTATCTGTATTTTGCTAGCTTGTATATTCTGCATATTTAAGCAACAGCGAGAACATACACTATTCGTAACCTACAATTAAAGATGGAGCTAATATTTTAAACCGACCATATTTTTACAATGGCAGCAAAAACTAATTAGCATTACCTCCCAGTTAATCAGCTTAATCTATGAGGCTCGCACAACGAAAGAATTAATGAGCTTAACTTGGAATTTTTTTTTGAAAGACGGGGGGGAAAAGAAACTGTCTCATTTCACTGGCCTTGTAGAGTCAGATGAACAGCTACTTTTATCTTCGTTTGAGCAACTTTTTTTTCTTTAAACTAGAGGAAAGGCTGTGTAATGTATCACTTCTTGTTGTAACAACTTTGCAGATAAACATACTAACAGTAGTTTCTTCTGAACTAAACGTTTATTGTACTTATACTAATCATCTATAATTTTATTACATCAGTTATCTAACCTTTCTTTTTAGTTGTCAAGTCTCAGAAATTAACGTCATGAATATAGTCGTTATATATATGTTTACTTTTCAAATGTCAACTATATGGAATTAATCAAAGTTCGCTCTTAAACCATAATAGCCTAAATATTATACGTTTTGAAGTAACACTTTCAGTCTGCGTTTCATCTTACATCCCGAGAAAATTATATGGCAGAAATTTCTATATACCATTTGTGTACAGTAAAGACACAAAAAAAAGTCAAAGTACTTGCTAAGTAGGTTGGAAAGACAAGATTTATAGGTAATTATTCTCGATTAGAACCTCTTGTAGAACATAAAAAATCAACGGAATTATAAACCAACTACGTTACCCACACTTCATTTGCTGCCTAGCTGTGCAGAAAGTTTCGCTACATAAGTGTTGCCATGTAATTACAGATAATAATGATGGACTTTGTCGACAGATGTGATACCACTAGAGAAGGCCGATGACGTCAGGGGTCGAATGTAGGGAGCAAGGTCAGTTTTGTATAGCTTTATGTGAACCTCTCATCAAAAAGGTTAAATTTAATAACCTCATTAACTACACAAGCTTATTTATAACCAGTTTTCTCCGTAGAGTCTTTTAGTTTTTATGTTATTAATAAATCATATATAATTTTAATCCAGGAGAAATTTTACAAAATATAATAAACTTATTTCATAAATCTACAAAAATGTGTTTTAACAAGGTGTTGGAATACGACCATAATTTTGACTTAAAAACAAGAGAACCAACGTAAAACATCACACAGCTTATTTTTTGTAAAACAAGAGTACCAATGTGAAATATCACACAGCTTATTTTTTTGTAATAAAACAAGAGAACTAATGTAAAATATCACACAGCTTATTTTTTGTAAAACAAGAGAACCAATGTAATATATCACACAGCTTATTTTTTGTAATAAAACAAGAGAACCAATGTAAAATATCACACAGCTTATTTTTTGTAAAACAAGAGAACCAATTTAAAATATCACACGGCTTATTTTTTGTAATGAAACAAGAGAACTAATGTAAAATATCACACAGCTTATTTTTTGTAAAACAAGAGAACCAGTGTAATATATCACACAGCTTATTTTTTGTAATAAAACAAGAGAACCAATGTAAAATATCACACAGCTTATTTTTTGTAATAAAACAAGAGAACCAATGTAATATATCACACAGCTTATTTTTTGTAATAAAACAAGAGAACCAATGTAAAATATCACACAGCTTATTTGTTGTAAAACAAGAGAACCAATGTAATATATCACACAGCTTATTTTTTGTAAAATAAGAGAATCAATGTAAAATATTACACAGCTTATTTTTTGCAATAAAAAAAAGAATTGAAAATAAATAAGAAATTTGTTTAACATGTAGTGTCACTAGTTTGCATACACAATTAAATTTATCTAAGTATTTCACAGAAAGCAGCGGTAAGAAGACAAGTAAAAACAACAGTATTCATAATTTATTGTGTTGTTTAATTCTTAAGGATAAAATATACAACACTCATGACCATTGTATATCCTAATTTTATAGCCAAGCAACGACCTAATTACTACTACCCAGAAATATTCTCGTGCAATAAATACACTCTTATAATAATAATCAATATTTACTCAGAACTGGATGATTATAAACTCTAATTATTATTCTTACTTTGAGAAACCAATATGAAGTTATATTTCTCTAGATAATATTTCTGTCTTAGGTTGAAAATATTTTAAGTTAACGCAAAAACATTCGGACTTTAAGTCCCCACCCCCACCCTCACAACCATATATATTTTTCCTCGAGAAATATGAAAGCTAAAATGGTGTATTATACACCCCTAACTTATATTTTAATTGTCATACGATTATATCACAAAGCAGACGAGACATGAATGTGCCACATATAAATATCAATTTGAGAAACAAGTTTAGCTATAATTGCACAGGCCTTTTTGTTTTGGTACATTTACTCACTTTGGTATGTTTGCAAAATTTTATATGTATAGCGAAAGAATTCAGAACTAAAATTCGTTTTTGTTTGTTTAAGAAATTCGCGCAAAGCTACATATGTGCATAGCCATCCCTAAATCTGAACTAATAGATTAGAGATGGTCTACAGCATCCACCGCCAACTCTTGTCTGACCGAATAGTGAAATCTGACAGTTACTCTTCTAGTGTAACAACGTTCTCAAAGTGGATGCACAATAACTACTAGACACTTCCGGTAATAACTCGATATGGTTAACAACCTGTCAGCAAGTGACAGGACTACAAACAGTCATGACAATGTTTTTTTGTTACAGATAAAGTAAAATATTAAAAATATTTCAAAAGAATTAATATTGTTAACACAGATTGGCATTCAGACGAATTCTATCAGTGTATAACTAAAATAAGAAATAATAATATATTGTTATGGAAATTCCTAAGAGACTAGAATCAATAGATAAAGAATGCAGTGTTAAAAAATTAAAACAGGCGTTTGCACCATAAAAATTGTTGTAACAAATGGCTTATATAAATAGTGTTCCGACCACTACTATGTTTGTTGTGTCCCAGACGACCTTATGAGCTTTGGATTGAGTGAAACGCATCGTCGGCAATGGATATGGTGAACATAGTGTGGTTGGAATACT